TTAGAGGATAGCAGTCCTGTAATACATAACTAGTCCATAATTAGAGCTAGTAATTATGACTAGTGTTGGTTGATTAAAACACAGAGGGGAAAGTAAGCAGAAGGAGTGAGCAGTGGATACAAGAGGGAGAAGGTGCTGCTCAGGCTAAGGGTGGGATGAAAAAAGAGAGGCAAAGAAATGCAAGTACAGAACGAAAATAAAAAGTTAAGCCACTCAGAGACCCCACCAGTCAGGTGTATCGCTAAGTCTTTAAATGTCTGCTCTATGCCCCTCTGGGTGCACCCGCCCAAGAACTCTGAATTCATAAATGAAAGACATACACACAACCTTTATATTTAATCTGTCTTAACTAGCTCCATGTCTGGGCACGTCCAAACCTCCCTGTGGCTAGCACACATTCCCGTCCAGTATTCCTGAGTTAACAATTTCTAAATCTATATTTGTTCCTTGCTGGGGAATCCTAAAAGTCCCACCTCTATCCCCCTGCCTCGCTATTGGCCATTGGCTCTTTATTGACCAGTCAAAAGACTAACTGTTGGCAGGGTCCTGCAGCAGACATGAGAATTCCCACAGAAGCACAAATCAATTCCCCAACAGGCAGGCCAGCCTATGTTCTTTTGAGAAAGCCCTTCAAAGTGTAAGTGGGAAAGGAAGTAAGAGAAAAAAGACCAGGATGAGAACAAACCAGCACAGACCTATAAACTGATCCTGTCACTGACTAAAGGGGAGAGAGCTGGTGAGGCCCAGTCTGAATGTGGTCTCTTGACTGATGGATGGTGTCAGTCTGGATCCTCTGTGTCCCGTTTTAGGCTCTCAGATGCCAGGCACACCCGTCGATAGTCATTTGCAAGGTTGGGCTACAGGTACTGATTCTGTCAGTTGACTGTCCTTTTCGGGAGGCATCACAAGTACTGGGCAGTCCTTCAGGGGTCAGGTTGTGAATACTGTTCTTATCACAGTGCTAGCCTGTCCTCAGGAGCCAAGGGGCAGACACTATCAGGACCTTCCCCATGTTGGACATTCCACTTGAAACAAGACTAACTCTGGCTCTGACTACATTTGCACTTGCTGAATAGGCCCTTTGCACAGTTCCTTCCCAACAGTCTAAAGGAAATCTGCTGTCCGGGTTTCAGCACATCTGTTTGGTGTCCCCACAGTGTTTGAAGCAGAGATCTTAAAATGGCCTCTGTTCTTCTCTCATTGAATACCCAGAAGAGAGGGTTTTCTGGTGTCTTAGTCTACTTTCTATTGCTGTGACAAAAACATAGTGACTTAAAGCGACTCCGGGAGGAAAGGGCTTATTTGACTTTACAGGTAACAGTCCATTTTATGTAAGGAAGACAAGGTTGACTCAAAGCAGGAGCCAGAGCAGAGACCATGGAGGAGCACAGCGTACAGGCTTGCTCAGCTTGCGTTTTTATGCCATCCAGGTCCATCTGTCCGGGGCCGGCACTGTCCTCAGTGGGCTAGAGCACTTATCATTCGTCAAGGAAATGCCCCCGCAGACATGGCCACAGGCCAGTCTGATGGAGACAGTTTTTCAATTGAGAGTTCCTCTTCCCAGATGACTTCATCTTGTATCAAGCTGACAAAATTTAACCACTGTACATGGATGGTGTCCTTCCTTCCCCCTTCAATGTTTGCTTCTGAGAGTACTTCCGGGGGGAAGGGAGGGCTCTGTTTCATACACTGGCCCCTCTCACTGAGAGAAGGGAGCTTACCTAAGAGGGAACTATTACTTTTTATGGTCTATTTATCTTTTGTAAGAGGAACTATCACTTTTTATGTTCTATCACACCTAGAGAAGCTATGAAGAACTAGGAAAACAGGGTTATTGAAAGCCAGTAAGATGAAGTTTTCTTAGGATTGGGTTGAATTCGCCGGCCTTTCCACCCTAAGTTTAGTTACAGGAACTTTACAAGTACCCACCCTAAAGTAGCTATAAACTGCCGTTAGTGTTGTAATTACCCATCAATACCAGCCGCCTGGAAGACTGCAATTCTATGGAGGCATAGAAAACTTCCTACTACTGGCATGAAGGGCATAGCGCCAAAAAATTCCCAGTCCCAGGAATCAGTTAGCCTCAGGCCTAGCAAGCCACCGACGCTCTAGCCCAGGTCAGCCAGGGCTCTGTGGAAGGCCTGGCACTTGCGCACTGAGCTGAGACAGCAGGGGCTGGGCGGATGAGGGGCATGCTCCTGCTGTGGTTGCTGAGAAGGGTGGTGGTGAGTGCTGCCCGGAGCCCGCAGACAAGTCTGCGTCCTTGGCCATTCTGCCTCCATGCAGGACAGCGGCGGAGCCGGAGCGGCAGACCCCAGGGAGTGTCCCCGGGACCTTGCCTTGCCCTCCGGAGCCAGCGGCCCGGTCGCAGCCCCCGGGTTTGTGTCTACCAACTGCCCCTGAGTCATAACAGATCGTCAGCACCTTGTGCCCAGTGCCTCGAAAACACCCTGTCTCTATTTTGGAGAAAACCGAGGGGGCTTCCTGACCGAGCTGTACTCGGTCATTCCTGGATTGGACTGGACCTCCGCTCATACCTCATTTGAGTTGTCCTTTCATCTGGTGCTTAAAGGGCCTCGTGCCTGAGGGTTGTCATCCTCTTTTAGACCCACTGCTTTTAGAAATCCTCCCTGTATGGCTTCCCAGAGTACCTTTGTAGCCATGAATTTCTCAAAGCAGACCAGAGCCCTAAATCAAAGTGTGCCAAACTAAATACAAGAACTTAGACAAGTTCCCTAACAAGATCCTCAGATCTTCTTGTCTGAGGCGAAGGAAATGTAGGTGATTGTGTGAATGAAAGGGGGTGAAAGATAACGCAGTTAGCATCCTGTTGACCACATAAGCACCCTGAAGGGCACATAAGTGCTCTGTTGATTATTTCTTTTCTTTTTAAAACTATATACTTATTTTTATGTGTAAGGATGTTTTGTCTGCCTGAATGACTATGCATGTGGATGCTGGGAATTGAACCCAGGCCCTTTGGAAGAACAGTCAGTGCTCTTAACCACTGAGCCATCTCTGCTGCCTGACTATTTATTTCTTTCCAAAATGCAATAATACAATATTTCTCATTGGTCATATGAAAAGTCCTTTTCAAGTGATGTTAATGCTAAGGCATATTCCTTAAGATGGATGGTTTGGTTAAGTGACAATGCAGTTTGATAGTTGTTTTGGGAAGGGGGATTATGTGTCAGCAGTTCCAAAAATGACACTTTTGTAAATGCACATCTTAAAATCCCTGGGAAGCAGTTCATAGTACGTGATATGCAGGAAGATGATACTCAGCGTTATATGTGATAGCTGAAATCTATAAACTTTTTAAGTTGAAAATTTTAAAGGTAAGGGAAAGTAGAAGGTAAGTAGGTCCCTCTGGCCACCATTATCAATAACCAACAATATTTTGCCCATCTTGCTTTTACAAAAAACTGGGAACTATTAGTTGTTGGAAAGTAAACTGGAATACATTAGGAATGCTAGGCTACCTTTAAAATAATACAGAATTATATTTATGTATTGTAGCCATGAAAATTCACAATCCAAGTCTCATTAAATCTAGACAAAAGACAAGGAAGTACCAGAAGCTGATTTCCCTGTAGTGGGGGAACATGAGGGACTCCACTGTGTCATATGACAGTGTGCACCCAGTCTGCATGTGCTGTATGGGACTGAGCACAGCAGACATCAGAGCCCGGCCACTGATGCCTCCACTCTGACCCGTTAATCTCAGGCTTGGCTGCCACCTGCTGTTAGATGTTATGCTTACATGCTGCTTGGTGTGGAGCCTTATGACCACCATACATGTTCAAATCTTTGAGAATACGTTTTAATTTTAATTCCTTTTATTTATATAGTGGGGGAAGGGTGGGGAACGGCGGGGATAACCTACAGAAATGGGTTTCTCTCTTCAGCATGTAGATCTGGAGGGTTGAACTCAGGTGGTCAGGCTTAGTGGCAAGATCTTTATCCCTGCCCCATCTTGCTGACCCTGTGTAGCCAAATCATTATTAACCGACTGTCTTCTGTATGTGATTGATACTACTGTAAAAATTTGTTACACGTGTGTCTACTAGTGCTTCATACCCAGGATGCAGCATAGTATTCTGTGACAGTATGACATCCCCCTTCTCAACCACCACCCCCACCTCCACACCCCACATCACCACCACCTCCACACCCCCCCATCAC